GGCAGACGCTTAACGACTGAGCCACCCAGGCGCCCCAAAAAGATTTTTTTTTTTTAAGGATTTTATTTATTTATTTGACAGAGAGAGACACATTGAGAGAAGGAACACAAGCAGGGGTAGTGGGAGAGGGAGAAGCAGGCATCCTGCCGAGCAGGGAGCCCAACTCGGAGCTCGATCCTAGGACCCCGGGATCATGACCTGAGCCGAAGGCAGCCGCTTAACGACTGAGCCACCCAGGCGCCCCATCAGCAGGTTCTTTAGAGAGCTGGACAGCTTGGGGGATATAGCAAAGGTGAGCGCAAATGCATAGGTTCTTCTTGAGATTTTGGCTGAACAAAAGTATATCGGGTTCATGATTCCAAACTACTAAGGCATCCAGATGCCTCGGGATGTCTATAAAAAGGAGGATTAAGGTAGGTGCTGGGGAAACCTAGCAGAGGAAATGCCAAGCCCCTGTGGTATCTCTCAATGAGGAGATGGATGGTTCAGGTAGAAGCAAGAGAATGGGCCTGATAAGCTCTCCCCAATTTTCTCATGGGAAAAGTCTCATGTAGTCTGCTTCAGATGATAAATATAGAAAGTCCTTAAAATAAGCTTCAGTTAGAATCCCAGCACGAGTCATGGGGTACAACAGGGCAAGAGATGAACACCAGAGATAACAAGTACCATTTACCTGGTAGTCTGTGCCACAAAAATTTTACTAGATGCTTTCTACATATTACCTCATTTGATCATGACAACAACTCCGTGAGAGATACTGTTATTACTCCCTTTATACCAAAAAAAAAATTATTTGTGAAAAAAATGTGACACACTCAAGGTCACACGGTTTATAAAGCAGATTCACGGCAAGGTCTATGTTATTCTAAATCCCATGCTTTCGATTAAGAGCCTTTTAAGTGAGAAGTTATTTTCATACCCTCATGGCAAAGAAAGAAAATGGTTCGTTAAAAATCTCTTGGCTGAAAAATGTTAATGCTTAAAAACAGCCCCAATTAAGCTGTAGCAGGTTAAGTGTGGAACAAGCACAGATTCAGGATTCCTCCAGTCGCTGGAGGTTTGACATGTGATCCTAGGCCAGTCCTTCAGCTTCTGGGGGCGGGGGCGGCGGGGGGGCAGGGGGGGTCTGGGTTTCCCAGGGAACTTGTAAAACAAGGCCGCTTCCCCTGTTCTCCGCCTACAAAGCATTCCACTGGGTCAATGACCCGTGCTGAGATAATAAGGCCGATAGCCAGAGATGAACCAATTGGCCAAAGGTTTCAATCTCATCTCTCACCAACTTTCTTCTTAGTTATCAGACTTTCCCCTCAAAAGTTATCAGCTAATTGCCAAATAATTATGCAGCACCTACTATGCATGCAGCTGCACAGCAATGAGCAAGGAGTATTCAGAGGTATGGGCACAGTCCTTAACCTTGAGGACCTGTCTCTGAGTCCGGGGACTTGTAAGATACACGAAACAAAAGCAGAAAAACATCGGGGGTGGGGAGGGGGGCTATGATTCAGCATCCAACTATGGCTACAAACTGGAGAGACTAGAATTCAGAAGAACATCACCTCAAACTAGAAAAGCGGAGGTTATCAACACAAAGTAGGGTTTTAAAACAGCCTTGTTAGATGGATAACTTGGAAAAGAAGAAGGGAAAGGCATTCCAGGTAAAAGGAACTCCAAGAACAAAGGATCTGGGACCAGACAGAGTAGTATACAGGATGTGTGGTCACAAAAGAGACCAGAACATCACTCGGTGGGGGTATGGGTGAGCAGCGGGAACGCAGACGGGGCCAGATTTCAGAAGACGTGAATGCCTGACATGGCAAGCTGGGAACAAAAGGTAGCGAGATGGGTGACGTGGTAAACACTGGAAGCTGCTCAGTTTGGATTGCTTGCCTACTCTCTGCCTCCAGTAAGGGAAAAACAAAATCCAGGGGTCATAAAGGCCAGGACATCAGCCATCCCAGCAGAGAGGCACCAGAGTGCCGAAAAACAAGAGATCTCCTAGAGGGCAAAGGCTCATTACATTTCTGAAAAGAGAACAGAACACAGTAGATGCCCCAAAATGCTCAGGAAGCAGTACTCTGATCCGCTGCTGCTCGACTCACAAGGACCTTTCAGGCCCGACATGCCACCGGTCAAGTAAATCAGCCTGATCCAGAATCTCTAAAGCACCATTCACATCACCCCTGCCCTTCTGCTAGCTATCAGACCAACAGGAGGTGAGGACACTACACACCTCTGTGCCCAGCCTAGAAGACAGGGCTCCAGATGCTCTGCTGCCCAGCAGGCCAAATGGAGTCCAACATCTAAGCTCCTGTTGCAGACAGCACTGAGGGAAAAGCTGCATCTGCAGCACACTCAGGCTAAAAGTCCCAGACTCTTCCTGTGGGAGTCACAGCAAGAAACGCAGTCTCTGGGGCCTCTTCAGACAGGAAGACACCCAACCACCGCGCCAATTCTAACAGGGTCTAGAGATGTTTAATGGCATCACCCTGCCCCGTGAGATGCAGACGTCGGGACAGTATGTGCAAAGGAAAGTGTGCTGAGTTAGGTGAATGGTCATCATTTCACCAGCCAGTTATCATCTGCATCAAAACCGGGCCACTCAGAGCAGCGCACCCCCGCCCAGTGATGCACTGCCTCACCTGACCCCTCCCTGCCTAATGCCTCCTGCCGTCGCCCCACCTCAAGGAAAATGGCAAGCCTTGTTCTCCACCAGCCGCAGACGCACAGAACGAAGAGGCTGACACAACAGGAGGAGACGTTTTAGCAGAGGAATGACCCGCCCCCACACTGCATCAAGCACCTCCAAAATAGAAGAATCAGGTCCCTCAGATAATAGTTTAAAACGTACATGCACGTGCCTGCCAGAAAATAAACTCTTGCTAGTTAGATCCAGCTCAGCAGAAGTACTTAAATTCCCTTCTGTGGATTTCCTATTTCATAAGGAATCCCTGACAGAAGAAGCAAGAGTTCCTCTAAAGCACATACATTCCAGTATCATTCATAAACTTTTCAATGAAAATGAAAGTCAGTTCAGAGCAAGTGTCATCTGAATGGGTTTCTCTCCTTCTTATTTGAACTTGTGCGTGTATACAAGCACACACACACACACACACACACACATCCTTTTAGGATAGACATGAGCACAGCACGCTTAAGATTTGAGCACCTCGGTGTGAAAATGTAAGCAGTCCATGCCAGGCCAGCCCTGCTGTGACATCAGGAACCCCCCACCAAAGAAAAACCACCCCCAGAAAGTACCCAAGAAAGGGAAACGCCTCCTTGAAACAGCCTGAGAAAGGCAATCCTGATCCAGCCCATGCAAAACTATCCCCAAACACTAGCCAGGAAGTCCCTTCTTTCAGGGGGCTCCAATGCCCAGCAAACCCAGAACTGCCTTGGCAGAAGCCAGATCTCTGGAAAAGGGGGCTTCCCTGCTCTGACTCTGCCACCCACTGGGATCCACCAGTGGCCCGGTCTTCCGACCCTGCCTCGCCAATGCAGATACAAAAGCTGGAAGCTGCACCACAAGCACACGTTCACACACACACACACACACACACACACACACCAACACACATTTAATACATACATACCTTTCACCCTCCATTGTGCGAGGCCCAGCCGGGGTGGCAGCCGCTGAACTGTGCATGCACCCGGAGATCCTAGCTCTGTTCTCCGATCTCCCAGCCAACCAACAGGAGATCTGATCAGCAACAGTGATTCAGCATGGCTGCAAACGAAGCCTCCTCCCTCTCGGTCCTCCCTCCTCTGACTTACTCCCAGCAGCTTCTACCGCAGAAGCAGCAGCAGCAGAAAATGTCTTACCCAGAGCTCCCTGCAGCCCTTTCAGCAGCTAAAAGCAGCAACCCACTTGCTCCCCCTCCCCCGCAGGCTTGCCGCTCCTCGGTCTCCTAGGAACAGCGCAGCTCCAGCAACCCAAGTGCGGTGCCACCTTTCCAGCTGCCTCCACATCTGCCCAGGCATCCCCAGCTCAGGCGACTAGCCCACCCCGGCGGCTCCCGCCTCCTGCGCCCATCCTGCAAAGGTTCAGGCAGTTCCTCACCAGCCCAAGAAATACTGGCCCCCGCCCCCTCCCCAGCCCCCATAGGCTACAAGTCCGTCAGCCCGGCCAGATCGCTGGAAGGAGGAGGCCCCTCTGTGGCTTGTAGTGGAGTTTATCCACCTGGGGAAATTGGCTTGTAGGTCACAGCTCACGTTCCAATTCCGCCTCACAAAATCTCCGGTAGCTCTGAGAGTCTGACAGATGGAGAGAAGTTAGGGGCAAAAGAGCTGGATAGAACTGAGAATGCGGAGAGAAATTTTATAAAGAGAACAGGAGACAGAGGTGAAACTGAAACAAACGCTCTTTTGCCTCAAGGGGCCAAAGACTATTGCAGCAAAGGAATGACAATGAATACTGCACACATTGATTTCCCTACCCCATACTGAAAGACCACAAATTTCATAGCACAACCGTAAAATATCTTCCTAAAGCACTGAAATTTAACTTCAGCTGTGGCTCCAACTAGTAAGTCTCCCACCGAACCCCCATCTCCAGCCAAAGATCTCTCGTACCCTGTAATCTCCAGCTGCTGAGCCTCAATTTAAACTTACTTAACTCTAAAGCATCATCTTGGGAAGGCACAAGGCCAGTCTGTGTCTCCTAGCCATAGCCAAGAGGCTCAGAGGAAACCGAAGCAATCAGCCACTGGTGATTGGTTAGCCACAGAAATGGGTTCAGAAGCTTCCTTAATGCCTCAAAAATCATACATGAAAATCTCTATTCTCAAACCATCCATGTCACAGCTGGGCTTTTCAGGATCTGTACTACCTACCACTGGCAGGCTGAGTGACCTTCAGCAAGTCTTCTCCCTACTCCGAACCTCAGCCCTTCATCCATAACACAGGATCAGTCCAGAGTCCCTTTCAGCTCTAAAAATCACATGATTCTGAAAATGTCTGAAATGTTCCATTTTTCTTGTTCATCTGTAAGAATGCTTAAGAAGTTTTTACTGGCCTCTAATATTTTGTAGGGGGCTTCAGGGAGGATGAAAGTGGGAGAGATGATCATTAAATCCATGACTGTTATCATTTGGACCTGTTAAATTTCTTCACTGCTACAAAGCCTTGAAACAGTGGAACAGGGTGTGGGGGGACACTGAGGTAACAGAAACTAGTAGGAGTCACTGAAACTTTATATAGCCTCCCTGAACTCAGACTGGCAGGGTGTTATTCTCAAAGATTACCTCCCACGGGCCCTCAGGGTCCTCTGAGATGGGAGCACTACCCCAACTCTCTCAAATGAGAAGACGCCTGGGTTATTTTATTTACATCCTCCAGCCCCGGATCACCACTTCTTCTCCATAACAATACCCCTCGTATCTTTCTCCCTCTGTCCCTTCCTCCTCTAATCAGCCCTATTGCTCTGCTCCAGATATTTCCTCTTGAGGTGAATCACAGGGACCAGGAGAAGCCCAACACCACAAATAAGGAAACTGAATCCCAGAATCCGTGCCAGAGTGCAGGCATCCACCAGGAAGACAACTGGGTGATTCATAAAAGGGACATGAGACTAAGATAAGTCTCTCTTTTATGACTTTATACCCTCATTCACCACTTCACCATACAGGAACGGGGGCGGCGGGGGGGAATGTCACATCTAACAAACCAGAGAGAAAAGAAAAAGGTCAGAAAAGGAACTACTTAAGGCTGAGGATATACCGATTTTATTTGACAGCCAGTATAAAAATTTTACAGCATTGCCTTCGCAACCTACTTTAGCTGTGCTAACCTAACCAGTGTCACTACGGTGTCTGTGCCGACACCATACTACTACCATCTACACACTTTATTAACCACTCGCTCTACCCGCGGAGGTACCGGGAACAGAGAACACTCAGGGAAGGTCATCGAGCAAAACCATGGGCAGAGCTGAGTCAAGAATCAAAGTCTCTGGGGGGCACCTGGGTGGCTCAGTCGTTCAGCGTCTGCCTTCGGCTCAGGTCATGATCCCAGGGTCCTGGGACCGAGCCCCGCAT